CTCCTTCAGCTATGTCTAAGAGCATGATTTGCTACCATATCATCTTAGCCCACTGCCACCGCTGCTTAATATTGAGCGACTTGTTTATTCGACTGAATTATTCGACTGGATTATTCGACTGAATTATTCGACTGAACTATTCGACTGGTTTATTCGACTGAACTATTCGACTGAATTATTCGACTGGTTTATTCGACTGGATTATTCGACTGAACTAACTGACTGATTTTATCGACTGGACGAGGCCACATGAAAATGTCAAATACCCCCCCCCCCCCGCCCCACCCCATCCCCTTTCTTCGTTCATATCATATATAGGGACTCTATTCTTTTCGTGGCGGACAAGGACAGCTGTCTAGTCTTTCGGATGGGACGAAAAACCGAGGTCCCGTGTATACATTGGAGTGGACGTAAAAGATCCCTTTGACAGATGGAATTCGATATAAGAGTAGGCCGTAGTGCCGCTGTCCGGGCAAAATTTCCCTCATCGCACAGTGTATGGCGTCTGCCCGTCTTCATTAGCCCAGTTCCAAGCAGAACAGTAGGACGTTAAAACCCCATTTCATTTCTTTTCATTTTTTGAAACTGGTTGGGAAGCCCCCCGGTCCCTACCCCATGCCCCCGGCTCCTTCATCTATGGCTACGAGCATGATTTGCTACTATATTATCTTAGCCCGCTGCCACCGCTGCTTAATATTGAGCGACTTGTTTATTCGACTGAATTATTCGACTGGATTATTCGACTGAACTATTCGACTGAAGTATTCGACTGAACTTTTCGACTGAATTATTCGACTGGTTTATTCGACTGGATTATTCGACTGAACTAACTGACTGATTTTATCGACTGTACGAGGCCACATGAAAATGTCAAATACCTCATCCCCCCCCCCCCGCCCCACCCCATCCTCTTTCTTCGTTCATATCATATATAGGGACTCTATTCTTTTCGAGGCGGACAAGGACAGCTGTCTAGTCGTTCGGATGGGACGAAAAACCGAGGTCCCGTGTCCACATTCGCGTGGACGTAAAAGATCCCTTTGACAGATGGAATTCGATATAAGAGTATGCCGTAGTGCCGCTGTCCGGGCAAAATTTCCCTCATAGCACAGTGTATGGCGTATGCCCGTCTTCATTAGCCCAGTTCCAAGCAGAACAGTAGGACGTTAAAACTCCATTTCATTTCTTTTCATTTCTTGAAACTAGTTGGGAAGCCCCCCGGTCTCTACCCCATGCCCCGGCTCCTTCAGCTATGTCTAAGAGCATGATTTGCTACTATATCATCTTAGCCCACTGCCACCGCTGCTTAATATTGAGCGACTTGTTTATTCGACTGAATTATTCGACTGAACTATTCGACTGAAGTATTCGACTGAACTATTCGACTGGTTTATTCGACTGAACTTTTCGACTGAATTATTCGACTGGTTTATTCGACTGGATTATTCGACTGAACTAACTGACTGATTTTATCGACTGGACGAGGCCACATGAAAATGTCAAATACCTCATCCCCCCCACCCCCGCCCCACCCCATCCCCTTTCTTAGTTCATATCATATATAGGGACTCTATTCTTTTCGAGGCGGACAAGGACAGCGGTCTAGTCGTTCGGATGGGACGAAAAACCGAGGTCCCGTGTGCACATTGGCGTGGACGTAAAAGATCCCTTGACAGATGGAATTCGATATAAGAGTACGCCGTAGTGCCGCTGTCCGGGCAAAATTTCCCTCATCGCACAGTGTATGGCGTATGCCCGTCTTCATTAGCCCAGTTCCAAGCAGAACAGTAGGACGTTAAAACCCCATTTCATTTCTTTTCATTTCTTGAAACTAATTGGGAAGCCCCCCGGTCTCTACCCCATGCCCCGGCTCCTTCAGCTATGTCTAAGAGCATGATTTGCTACCATATCATCTTAGCCCACTGCCACCGCTGCTTAATATTGAGCGACTTGTTTATTCGACTGAATTATTCGACTGGATTATTCGACTGAAGTATTCGACTGAACTATTCGACTGGTTTATTCGACTGAACTTTTCGACTGAATTATTCGACTGGTTTATTCGACTGGATTATTCGACTGAACTAACTGACTGATTTTATCGACTGGACGAGGCCACATGAAAATGTCAAATACCTCATCCCCCCCCCCCGCCCCAGCCCATCCCCTTTCTTCGTTCATATCATATATAGGGACTCTATTCTTTTCGAGGCGGACAAGGACAGCTGTCTAGTCGTTCGGATGGGACGAAAAACCGAGGTCCCGTGTATACATTGGAGTGGACGTAAAAGATCCCTTTGACAGATGGAATTCGATATAAGAGTAGGCCGTAGTGCCGCTGTCCGGGCAAAATTTCCCTCATCGCACAGTGTATGGCGTCTGCCCGTCTTCATTAGCCCAGTTCCAAGCAGAACAGAAGGACGTTAAACCCCATTTCATTTCTTTTCATTTCTTGAAACTAGTTGGGAAGCCCCCCGGTCCCTACCCCATGCCCCCGGCTCCTTCATCTATGGCTACGAGCATGATTTGCTACTATATTATCTTAGCCCGCTGCCACCGCTGCTTAATATTGAGCGACTTGTTTATTCGACTGAATTATTCGACTGAACTATTCGACTGGTTTATTCGACTGAACTTTTCGACTGGTTTATTCGACTGGATTATTCGACTGAACTAACTGACTGGTTTTATCGACTGGACGAGGCCACATGAAAATATCAAATACCTCATCCCCCCCACCCCCGCCCCACCCCATCCCCTTTCTTCGTTTATATCATATATAGGGACTCTATTCTTTTCGAGGCGGACAAGGACAGCTGTCTAGTCTTTCGGATGGGACGAAAAACCGAGGTCCCGTGTATACATTGGAGTGGATGTAAAAGATCCCTTTGACAGATGGAATTCGATATAAGAGTAGGCCGTAGTGCCGCTGTCCGGGCAAAATTTCCCTCATCGCACAGTGTATGGCGTCTGCCCGTCTTCATTAGCCCAGTTCCAAGCAGAACAGTAGGACGTTAAAACCCCATTTCATTTCTTTTCATTTCTTGAAACTAGTTGGGAAGCCCCCCGGTCCCTACCCCATGCCCCCGGCTCCTTCAGCTATGGCTACGAGCATGATTTGCTACTATATTATCTTAGCCCGCTGCCACCGCTGCTTAATATTGAGCGACTTGTTTATTCGACTGAATTATTCGACTGGATTATTCGACTGAACTATTCGACTGGTTTATTCGACTGAACTTTTCGACTGAATTATTCGACTGGTTTATTCGACTGGATTATTCGACTGAACTAACTGACTGGTTTTATCGACTGGACGAGGCCACATGAAAATGTCAAATACCTCATCCACCCCCGCCCCACCCCATCCCCTTTCTTCGTTCATATCATATATAGGGACTCTATTCTTTTCGAGGCGGACAAGGACAGCTGTCTAGTCTTTCGGATGGGACGAAAAACCGAGGTCCCGTGTATACATTGGAGTGGATGTAAAAGATCCCTTTGACAGATGGAATTCGATATAAGAGTAGGCCGTAGTGCCGCTGTCCGGGCAAAATTTCCCTCATCGCACAGTGTATGGCGTCTGCCCGTCTTCATTAGCCCAGTTCCAAGCAGAACAGTAGGACGTTAAAACCCCATTTCATTTCTTTTCATTTCTTGAAACTAGTTGGGAAGCCCCCCGGTCCCTACCCCATGCCCCCGGCTCCTTCAGCTATGGCTACGAGCATGATTTGCTACTATATTATCTTAGCCCGCTGCCACCGCTGCTTAATATTGAGCGACTTGTTTATTCGACTGAATTATTCGACTGAACTATTCGACTGGTTTATTCGATTGAACTTTTCGACTGAATTATTCGACTGGTTTATTCGACTGGATTATTCGACTGAACTAACTGACTGGTTTTATCGACTGGACGAGGCCACATGAAAATGTCAAATACCTCATCCCCCCCACCCCCGCCCCACCCCATCCCCTTTCTTCGTTCATATCATATATAGGGACTCTATTCTTTTCGAGGCGGACAAGGACAGCTGTCTAGTCGTTCGGATGGGACGAAAAACCGAGGTCCCGTGTCCACATTGACGTGGTCGTAAAAGATCCCTTGACAGATGGAATTCGATATAAGAGTAGGCCGTAGTGCCGCTGTCCGGGCAAAATTTCCCTCATCGCACAGTGTATGGCGTATGCCCGTCTTCATTAGCCCAGTTCCAAGCAGAACAGTAGGACGTTAAAACCCCATTTCATTTCTTTTCATTTCTTGAAACTAGTTGGGAAGCCCCCCGGTCTCTACCCCATGCCCCGGCTCCTTCAGCTATGTCTAAGAGCATGATTTGCTACCATATCATCTTAGCCCACTGCCACCGCTGCTTAATATTGAGCGACTTGTTTATTCGACTGAATTATTCGACTGAACTATTCGACTGGTTTATTCGACTGAACTTTTCGACTGAATTATTCGACTGGTTTATTCGACTGGATTATTCGACTGAACTAACTGACTGATTTTATCGACTGGACGAGGCCACATGATAATGTCAAATACCTCATCCCCATCGCCCCCCTAACCCAACATATCATATATAGGGACTCTATTCTTTTGGAGGTGGACAAGGACAGGTGTCTAGTCGTTCGGATGGGACGAAAAACCGAGGTCCCGTGTACACATTGGCGTGCACTTAAAAGATGGGGGCATATGGGGATGAGGGAAAAAGTCAAGCATGACTTTATTAAGCCGCGGTGGCAATAACTAAGATAACACCTTAAAGTTTTAATTTGAACAATCAAATTTGAACATGAGGGGACGTAAAAAATAAACAAAAACAATGATAAAAGATATTGGAATTAGTGCGTTTTTTCTTTAACTTATACAGATTACAAACGATTCCAAAATTTTAATAAGCCATCGACCGGTTTATTCGACTGACTATTTGTTTTGGACTTAGGGTCGACTCTAATTTCTTATTTGTTGCAATGCGAAACCGGAAACCGTAATAGACTATCGTCCTTGACCTTTAAAGGTAAACATCCACCCCTCCCGCTGTCTCGTGTTTATGAATTATTTCTGTGATGGATGCAGATGGACTTCCCATAGTTGGCCCTGGTGTAGATTACACTAAGGTATATTTATTTGCTTATTTATAGCATTTTGTAACTTCACCGATATGTATTTAAAGGATTAGGTAGATGTTTTTATTATGGGGAGGCGAGGCAGACCCATTGTCGAGGTGCACATTCAGGACTGATTGAAATGAAAATGAAATGAAATGTGGTTTAACCCTTAACCGGTCGACGTCATGACGTCAAGTGGTCAGGCTAAATAAAGGCTGACGTGAAATATTTTGTATGCCTATTTCAATCGACTACTGCCGAATAATTATAAGTGATAGACTCTTGACACCAATAAAAAAGTTGAAGGAGATAGGTTGATCTATAATTTGCAAATCATTCTAAGTCCTTTTCATCAGAAATATCGTCTTCAGAATTGGTGTCATCGATATAATCTGAGTCGGAATCATTCAGAAGTATTTCAACTACTTCGAGCCTCTTTAACCTTCCCGACATCGTTAAATTACGTTTTTCATCAAAAAATGTTGAACAAAGACATGTTTTTCTCAATGCCCTTGACAAGACAAGTTCCAGTCTGACATGCATGCATGGCCATATCAATTAAATACGAAACTAAATACTCAAATGCAGCATATCAAAAAGTTTCTTGCTGTGGTCGACTAAAGTCGACCGTGACCATTAAGCTGTATAACGTTGTGGTGATTATAGTCGACAATGACCGATTAAGGATTAACGTCCTTCTGCTCCGAACTGGGCTAATGAAGACGGGTATATGCCATACAGTGTGCTACGAGGGAAATTTTGCCCTGACAGCAGCACTACGGTCTACTCTTATTTCGAATTCCAACTGTCAAGGGATGTATTACGTGCACGCCAATGTGTACAAGGGACCTCCTTTTTTGGTACCATCCAAACGACTAGACAGCTGTCCTTGTCCGTCCTGCATCACTGACAAGGGGGAACCACACCGGAAAATCTGGATGCACTTTATCGCCTAATGCAGGGAGCTACATTTAATTAACTAATTTCCCTCAATCAAAATTTCAACAGTAGACAATCCAGTAGCTTGTATTGAATCAGATTAAAAAAAGGCCAATCAAAAACTTTGAGCAAAGATTATATACATGTAGATGGTGCTGATTTTTTTTGGGACCATATGAAATTTATATTGTCTGCAGAAGATTCTGAATGGAATTGAAACATTTTAGACTGACGTCACTTTTAGATATTCAACTTTGAGAATACCATAGTTTGTAAGGGATTCAAAATCCTTCAAATAACAATCAGAGATTTTAAATGTACTAGGTAGTGTATATTGTTGTCGACCAAAGGATATTTTCTGTCTAATTTCAGGTAGATGCTATACAACAAAAGAGAAGCATAGCTTTTATCAATCATTTTATTACTCATACAGCTAGATTTTTAAACAGATTTTCATGTGTTTGTGAGGAAAAACTTGAAAATTTATCCACCAAAATTCAGCGTTTAGAAATATCTCTTAGTATTTTAGAAGCTAAAGTAAGTCCAAAATTAATTGTCTTATATTGCTTTTTCAACTTAGGTTTGTTTAATTTGTATTGGGTTGTTTATTTTTTAACAGTGATCAAGAAGTTAAATACTTGTAAATTGGACACTCATTATCAAAATTAACCAGTCAGCTCTAAACTGAACACAACTACAAATTAGATGATTTGGGGTGATTTTAAATGATTTTTATGAATTTTTAAACAAAGATCTGATATTAAACGAATGTGAAAGAAATTAGTGCTAGGAACACAAGATTAAATGATACCCGGGTTACTAGTAGCTGATATTTGGACATGCATTGATAATATCAATAAAAAACAAAGAAAAATTGGCAGGCACCTGGAGAATTGTGCCAGACAAAGACTGAATTTGTCCTTGACAATTTTGTGACAGGTGCCTTATTTCCAGGCTTGGTATTATCGTAAGTTCAACTTAAAAATGGGTTTCCAGAAAAGTATTTATCGGGTGGTTATTTCCAATAAAAGTATGGTAATTTTGGTATATATGGAAAGTAGAGATATCCAATCTTACTAGAAAAATACTGGATTCCCGAAAAACACTCATGGAGTGTATACAGGACAAAAATGTAAGGGTTCCCCTAATCAACAGCCGGACGATTAGGAATTTCTGCACGCCTGATGTCAAAGGTCACACGCGAACATTGAGCGCTTGATGTACAAGTTGATAAACTTTATTTAGAGTTCGACGTACAACACTTTCTGAGATAAAAATGACGGTAAAAGACGCGGGTAGTGGATAATCCGAGAATTTTTATAGCAGGACATTCCTTCGCAATTACAATGTTTGAGAAGGATTTGAAGCAAAATTATGACAAATTAATTAGTTCGAATATGTTTTTAGTCCATATATACCATTAAATCACCCAGTTTGTACGCGGGAACCCATCTTTAAAAAGAATTGTTGAAACTATTTATTCCTGATAAAACAGTATTATATGTGGGTTTCAGTTGTCATCTATACCAGGATTAGAGAATGTAACAGTAGAAAGTAGTAGTTCCAGTACATCAGTTGCCACCAATGGTCCAGGATCTTCAGAAGCTTCAGCAACTTCTCAAAATACTGCAAGTATTCTTACATGGTTAACTGTTTGTGTATGTGTGTAAATACATATGCATATCTGTGCGAGAGTAGACTTGTAAAAACCTTCTTTTGTATACCACTATTGGCACTTGGCCAGTGAGTGAGATCTTCTCATGGAATTGTGAGAGAGAGAGAGAGAAATGGGGTTTAACATCCACTCTACACAAAACTAGGAAATTTCGGGATTAACATATGGTTTAATTTTATTTCAATAATTCGCTTGCTCGTAGGGGTCTTTAGCAGAGGGAGGAAACAAGAGGACCTGGAGAAAACCCATGAGGATGGACAGGCGACCCTACTCCTTGTCACTTACAACTGGGGATTCGAAACCACACCAGTTGACTCAATGACAGGCTTTATGATACAGCGTGCACATGCTAACCATTCGGCCATCCAACTCCCTAAATTGTGAGAGAAAGTGTCAGTTTATTTGTAGCCAACAGGCACATCAATACATCATATTATCATTCGACATTTAAATGGGAAATGCTATGTGGAAGTGGACATAAACCCCTAGTACTACTACTACGCTATAGGGATTTATGTGATTTTAAACTCATTTTACTATTAACTGAAATGAAATGAAATATGGTTTAAAATAACGTCCAAAATTTTCTATACCAACTGGGCTATTGCAGAGTGCTATGAGGGAAATTTGGCCCGCATAGTGGCGTTTATGAGTACTCTTTGTCAAATTATCTTTTAAATGCAAGTCGACAAGTACATGGGACCTCAGTTTTTCGTACATTCTGCACTGCTAGACATTTTTTTCTTGCCAGACTCTCCATCCTGCACCGTTAACAAGGAGAAGCCATGCTAGAAAATTCTGGGCTTGGACCAGAGATTTCCTGGTTAGTGAGCCAGCACCTTACTCACTAAGCCAATGTGGCTAAGGATTATATTTGTATACTCTTCAAAAAAAAAGTAGGGGATATTGAAATGCAAATACCTATGCAGGTTGTGATATGATAAATAGTCATGGACACTTGACATGCTTTGAGAATATGTTCACAGATGAAGAACTTATCGCCCCAACAGAACCACTGAGCTGCATGTGCGACACGCAATAGTGCCATACACATGGGAGGGGTTCATTGTCAAATTTGACACTTTAAGGAAGGGTTGATGAAAACTGCAACTTGCTGGTTTATCCTATCCTTGTTTGCTTTCCTATTGGTTCTTGCATAAGATTTACTGTTTAGCATATGTTTGGTTTAGTTTGTTACGTTTAATTTGATCGGGAGACGTGTTCGTCGGATTCAACGTCAGCCGACAACACTGCAAGAATTGGCCGTGGCACAGCAAGAGGAGTGGGTAGGATTGCCCCAAATCGTGATTTGACGGTTGATTAGGAGCATGCCACAACGAATTGCTGAATGTCTGAGGTTTGGTGGAGTAATTGCTCATTATTAAGACAAAAATCAAAAACGTCCATTTTCACTTTTGACAGTGAAGCCGCCCATATGAACTGTTTATGTTTATGGTATAGGCAATTGGCCTGTTATTAACATACACTAGTTACCTCTAATAAAAACAGCAGTGCATTTCCGCAGTTTTGAATTGTTTCTGAATATCCCCTAACTTTTTTGAAGAGTATATTTAAAATTTTGTTTTTAGCAGGCTGTGAATAATGAACCGTCAGATACAGCCACTCCTGCCGCAGCTCAGGCTCCGCCACCTGAAGAAGTTAAACCACAGCAAACTGTGTCTCAAGATCCTAGATATGCCAGATTCTTCAAAATGTTACAAGTTGTGAGTTGATTAGGATTTATCTATATTTTAGGTATCTCGAATTAAAAATAAAGTTTGTTTTGAATTGAGCTCAGAAGGGAATTCTCTTTTTTTGCAGTGCTGTTAGAAGTTATGAAATATCTCTGTAGTGAACTATAGCTACTGTCTGAACCGTCATAAATTTTAAACAATTTTCTTCGATTATGAACAAACTAGTTATTATAAACTTACCTGTGTGTTTGAAATCACCCCTGGTTAATTAAATCCAGTGTACAATGAATAAAAAAGTTCTTTCTTGAAAAATTCAACTTCTCACAAACTTTGACATCGAGAAATACAAAAATGGGAGCTAATTACGTCACTTATCAGGATAGATCATTTCGTATAAGGGGGTGGCAGTAAGACATGTCTGTCGAAACGATTTTTATAAAGATGATAAATGATGTTTAGACATCTTGAACTATTCTTATCACGAATGTTTTGATTTCAGTATTTTTCGAATAAACAAAAACGTAATTTTTTAAAGGAATATTATTGACATGAACTTACAGTCGGTACTTGAAATAAATATGGGAATTATCGAGAAGCAGTGACCTTTTTTCATATTTTTAGTGGTAATGATAAATTTTCCAAATGGATTAATAACCGTTGAGCTTAAAGTGTGTTATAAATTTTATGCCTAATTGACAGGAATGTAAAGTAATTTATAAAAATTATGGTATGAGTATGATGTAATAAGCAATTATATTTACGAGTATCCGTGTAATCAGTGATAGGTCTATATTTAGTGTGAATAAAATTTAGTAGAATGACAATCAACTATTTCAGAATTATTCTCCAGTGTAATTGCCTTCAGTTGATATTTTTGTTGCTCGAAAAGATGGTGCTTTGTTTTGATTGCAACACAAGTGGTTGTCAAAATTTGTCAACCTTTATCCACCTTCAGTTCAACATTTTATCATGGTTTCGCTCATGTGCAATGATTTGATGAACTTTGTCGAAAATACAACCAAAAACGTTGACTTTTCATGAGAGAACTTTTTTATTCACTGGGATATTTAATTGTACAATGGATTTTATTTAACCGGAGGTGATTGCAAACACATAGGCAAATTTTTAATAAAAATAATTAAGTAGTTTGTTATAATCGAAGAAATCCATTTAAAATTTATGACAGTTCAGACAGTAGAACATATGACTTTGCTCCAGTTATTAATTTCAATTGTGTAATTATGTTCTGTGTATTTCCAATTCAGTTACTAAATAATGATAATAAAAATATTGTATACTTATATTGCGCCGGTTTCATCCACAAATGCATTCTCAAAGAGCCGTCTCTGTATACTTTATACTATTTACACGCTAGTGACTAGACAGGGTTCCCGCGTTCCTTGAAAATCCTTGAATATCCTTAAATTTAAAATTTAATTTTCAAGGTCTTGAATATCCTTGAATTTCGCGGAAATAGGAAAATATCCTTGGATTTCAGTTGAGATCCTAAATTTTGTTTCAAATGTCTTCAATTCCTTAAATGTCCTTGAAAATCATTGAATTTGACGTATATTTATCCTTGAATATCCTTGAAAAAATGTTTGACGAAGCCGCGGGAACTTACATTCAAAGTTAAATAAATGGGTTTTAGAATTTCCTTTAAAAGATTCGAGTGATTTTGAAGTTTTAACACGATGTGGTAAGCTGTTTCATAAAATTGCAGCGTTATACATGTATCTGAAGGATTTAAAACCGAAAGATTATAATTTAAATTCTGGCTCATTTAACAAGCACTGGTCTTGGGATCGTGATGGTGTGTAGAGAAGTTCAGAAAGGTAGGCTGGGCTGGATCCCATTGTTACATTTTATGAAATATAATAGTTAAAACTGAATTACATAGTATGTCAATAAAATTGTATATTTTAGGGAGTACCTGCTCAAGCTGTGAAATTGAAAATGTCAGCAGAAGGCTTAAATCCTGATTTATTAGAGTAAGTTCTCTTGATTTGTGTTCTGCATTATATAATGAACATATTCAGATATTAGATGGAGTAATGATTAGTATGTCATGCCTCCTGCTACTAAGCATTATTTTAATATTTTCTAGAAATTACTCTTGGTAGTCATTTATAAATTGATACAAGTTTTACGGATAATAGATAGAATAAAGGGGTGGGGGCTTATATATGCGACTGTGTGCAGTTGGGTTTGATGCAACTCAATACAACTGAGAATTGCATGAAAAAGGTGACATAGGCAGTCTTGCGATTCAATGCAACTGTGAAAAAAGCCAGTTTCATTTAGTTGCACATGTTTGGCTAGTTGCAGCAACATAATGAATGCCACTAGTTTTGAGGGAATGTTTAAGCATTCTGTTTATTTCCATTTAAAGCCTCTAAGATTCCAGTTGAAAATAGATGCATGTACTTGCAAGAACATGTAATCATGTGCACGCAACATAAGCGACCGGCATTACCATGTGCACACAATGGTATCGGATTGCATAGGCGACATAAGCAGGGTTTAATATGTAGCATACGTGCTCCCTGCTACTATGCATTGTTTTAATGTTTTCGAGACTAGCAAAATCCTACTATAAATTGATATAGCTTTTAAAAAGCTATTGCAAATCTCATCCTTTATTAAGATAATATGATAGTTGTATGTTAAACATTTATAGTTATTATTAATACTACAGAATATAACAGGAAGCATCATGAAAATGAATATTTTTATATCTTATTTTAGTACACCGGATGCAGCAATAACAGATGGTGGTGGAGGGGGTGGTGCTACCAACAACAAAGATGACAGCGATGATGATTTTAGTGATGACAATAACTCAGATTCTGATAGTGTTAGCAGCTTCAGTGATTAAAATTTCATATTTTTCTTGGCTTTTTTTTAACAATTCTACAAGATTATTTGCGACATTAATTCCTTTCACAGGAAGGACAACATTTTTATCATTCAAGTTTTTCCATGTGCCCCATATTAAAGATGGTAGTATAGTTTTTATTCCATAAAGCATAATATGTTGTATGTATGTAAAGGGATTTCTGGTATTTGAAAGCCTTACTGCGAAAACGAAAACTTTGAATAAATGAGGTCGTGAAGGAAGATCCACTTTTTAATGAAATTCTTGTGAAGTGAGCACGATCTTTGACAAGAATGTCTTGTTAAAAGGGTTAAAACTATGATCTTGTTGTAAATAAATACATGAATAACAGTATATGATATTCACGCAGGCAATATAATAACAACATCTATAATAACAGTTGACCCTTTCAGCTGCCATATTATTCATTATTACAATCCATATTTCATAGAGGTTGGTACATGTATGTATGTAGGAAAGAATGTGAAGTTATTTGTAAAACAGGAATATTAGTGTCTATACTGCAAATTTAGATAATGACTTTACTATTCTTAAAATGGACATGTTTGTGCTTTATTCATAATTCAAATGTATTAGAAACAACACATGTACAATGACATATTAAAGTTTTGTGATGAAGAATGAATTAATATTAAATATTTTCTTGTAAATATTGATTAATAATGAAATATGGTAAATACTTATTTCACATTCAAATTACATGTAAAGTATCATTGTTTTATGTGAAACCATGAAAAATACATAAGCTAACATCTCTATATTAACTGTACACATATATTGCATGTATTGTAATAAACACTGTTAAATGTAGCCTATATTTAAACTACTCAAATAGTGATATTGGGTTGGCTAGAATGGATAAGGATATCCTGTCTTGTGCAAAATACCTGCCACTACTTCGAACAAAATAAGATAAAACAATGCCAGAAGTATAACATATTGTTTTAAAACATATGTTATCATAATTATATTTATAATAAGTTGTTATTTTGTATATTTTGTTATGATATTGATCAAAAGTATTAAAGATATATTATTTTAAATATTGTTTATTTCACAGCTTTCTGGCATAACCGGAGCCCTACCTACACAACCATATATCTATTAGATTGGTACTTGCAACAAAATCAGTGTTTAAAGTAGTTTAAACTGCAACATGCATGGGACCGCTATGCTTGTTGGGCCAAAGGGCAACTGCCCAGTGTGCCCATGCATCAAGACTGCCCTGCTTCTGTGTATCTTGTGTAGAGGTTTATTAAACCAAACTGAACGAAATTAAAGGAGGGATATTGAAATGGGCTTTTTAAGCCATCCTCTTCTGTAGTTAATTTTGGCATCGATATGTATTTGTTTGGGAGGTATCTAATTTTCCTAATGTCAGGAATGTTAATTGTATTGTTATTGTAATATCATAAAAGGAACCCTGGTGGCTTGGTGAATATGGCACTTGATCTCACTTTAGCTCAATACAACTTATCAAGGCCTTCACATAATACTCTACATTTTTTTGTCACTAATTTTGATTGGTCTAAAACCAAGCTTTAGACCTCTCAGCTTTTCCACTATGATTATGCTATGAACCACTTCACATCTTAGTCTAAACACTTTTAATTTACTTTCCTGTTCTTCCATTATGTTAGGAAGTTTGCTTTTCTTTAGTTTTCAATGAGTTTTTCAGCTAAAAAAAGCTTTCAACAGCTTCATGTGTTTGTGTCACAACCACTGATTAGACAACCTGTCTGTAGTAAAGGGAGATAACACTCCTTAACATTCGGGAATTTCACACCAAACTAGCAAAGGCTAGATGCTGTAAAACTTGCATCTGATCATTGCTTCAAGAACATGGGAGGTCCCAAGTACAATAATGATTCAAACCCGGAAAGTCCTTTGGTATTCTACAGTCTGGTTTCCACTGGGCAGAGGGCCTGAGGAAATGCATCTAGTTGTTTGGATGGGACATAAAAAAAGAGGTCCCATGTATACCATTGGCAACATGTTTAAAGATCCCCTGACAGTTGCAAATCGAAATATGAGTAGGTTTGTATCACCGCTGTCGGGGCAAAAGTTTTCACATAAATTATTTCCATTGGCGCAGAAAAGTAGGAGGTTAAACCCAGTTCATTTCTACAAAAGAGAAATACCAGTTATATAATTGAATTTTGGCGTAATACCTCATAAAATGAATTGCTACATGAAATTTGATAAAAAAAAGACATCTGTTTTTTTAAGTAATGGAAAATATCCTCTATTGAAAATTTTGGTTTCCAAGGGGGGGGCACACTAATGCTATACAAGTTTAACTGTTTATTGTACGTCATCAATGATATTAATCTTTATAAATTTTACCACTTAAACAAAGTAATTAAAAGATAAATTTTTATTTAAAAATGAAGTATATAAAATATTTAAAAAATGCACTAACATGGATTTACTGCTACTGGAGTTGTAAAGTTATTGAAACAAAGCAATAGAACTAAAAATATTACTAATCTAATAACAACAAAATACATCTAATAACTGAAGACTTAGAACTACCACTATATTTCAATGAGTATTTTACAGTTTATAAAGTACTTTCAATATGAAATTATTGTTAGAAAGACTGTCATAAAGGTATGGCTACAATGGTATATCATTCAAAGCACAGGCAATTGTATATTGCCATAGTTTATGTTGAGAAATCAACAAGCAATCCTATACAATCAGACTGTAACACTACAACATGCAAATCACTATTCCCTATTGAATAGCCATTTCAGATTTACTAATTCTTTATACAATTAAACATCTTACATACCTGTAAGTACTGAATCAGTACATATTTACTCCATTGAGCACATCTTAATTATCACTGCCATCAGTGATAACAGTTGTTCTCAAATCATATCTTTTTGCGATTCCATGGTATTAGATTGAAATTTTGCTTAGTTGAACTTTTTAAATTCAAAACTGAGCATGCCCATTTCTTTTTTTTTTTTTCCAAAGAAAAGAAATTCATTTCTAACCCATGTTGTACATGCATCACTACTAAACTTTTTTTCTAAGTACTGAACACAAAAGAGAATAAAAATTACATTTAAACATATGTGAATACATACTGTACAATACTGAGACAATATAAATATGCAGGGCATCTAGAAGCTATAAAATATATATCAATATACATGTATATTAAATTATTATATGGGGCTCATTTTTTGTAGAATGTTAAAATCACATGAACTCTTGTCTTGTAAAAGCTATTTTTTCAATGAAATGCATCATAAACTTTAAGGAGATTCACTCAAGCCACTTAATGGCTTTTTCGTAAAATTTCACAACACTTGAATTCCTGCAAGGGTTATTTTCTAACCTGCAGGTTGACAGAATTCAGCTTAAAGCACCTACATGGCAAAATAAAGGTTAAATATAGAGCTTAAAGGTTAATATTTCTTAAATAAAAAAAGGCCCAATTTCTTTTCAAGGAATCAATTCTAATGCATGTTATGGCCATTTAAAGTTTACATTGGCATCTATATTGCTTTTTTAAAATTTGACTGCTTACATAATAACAACAGTCTTTAAATTAAAATAGTTCACACTTTTCACTTTTGAAATATATGTGAATGATGTAGCTTCTTGTGTTTTAAACTAACTTAAATTAAGACAGCACTGATTAAAATATTAAGTGTATGCAAGCTGGGCAAGGGAAACAATAACAATAACATTACATATGGTAATCATTACATACATCTAATTAACTACTACTTGTTATCTATAATGCCACAAAACTAATATTCTCTATTAGTGATAATAATATAAACTAACAAAGAAGGACATATAACAATATAAATTATAGACAACTAAATATAAATAAAGGGCAATAATTATAATTTCACTGCATAATCTCATGCAAATATATCAATTATATATACATAATATCTTTGACAGTCCTATTATTATGTCACCAAATTATGTCCTATTATTATGTCACCAAATTATGTCTAAAACATGCTTAACAAAATCATTTAATTTTAATAGATGTCAAATATTTTCTTTTTTACTAATAACTTGAAAAATATTTCTTAGAATAAGAATGGCATAACATGTAACATAAATATTGTTCATTTCACGTTGACGTTTTCATTTATCAAAAACCTTAACAATTAGCTGTGATCTCGAAAAGACTCATGACTTGTACTATCAAATCATCATCAACCTTTTCAAATTATGGCACACAGGTTTCACAGATTATTTGCCTTCCTTTCATTGATATCTAAAAATTGAGTTTAATAAGGAGCACAGTTAATTCGATCATTGCATTATGTAGCTAAATATACAAAAGAAGTGAGTGAGATCAAGAGACGATAAACAATGCTAAGACAGTCATAATCAATGTAGAAATGAACACTGTTAGAGATCCAGCACTTCCATGTAAAGCTTCAGCCTTGGGAGCCAAGGCATACATTGTATTACCATTCAAAACATCCCTGAAATAAATAAACATTAATTTATCCTTGATTAAAAAGAAAAAATAAATTCACCATATTTCATATGATGTTTGTGCACATATAAATTCTGCTCAAATATCACGATTCTGATTGATTAAAAATGCATTATGTAAGGTTTAATTAAAGAGCTGACAGTTCTCATTATAATAGTTACAAAATAGATAATGAAGAACAGTGTAGTCTCGATTATCCATTTTTTAATTAAATTATTAACTGTGAATTGAGTTTAAATCCCTTGAATGGTCTGGAGAGTTGATTATGGGCTTGGCATTTGAATAAATGTCTAATTAATGATTTATATAACATTTGAGGCCAAATGAAAGATCTGTATTAGGCAGATTTAGTTCTTACATATGGATGTTGTCATAATTGTTACTTGAACTGTTTCCATACTCATTTAGTTGTAAATAAATTATTTCATTATGATGATGACCATTTTTAGGTATTAATCTTTTAATATGAAACTTACCTTAATAGTAAACCCAGATCATATAAACCATATGGGAGATTCCCTCCTTCTCGAAAATGACCACCGACATGATAACCTATAGATCTTGCTACTTGATTAGTTAATACAGCGCCAGCTGTTTTACCTGCCATAAACTGTAGCTATAATACAAACAATACATTACAACAAACATAGTTTGCCAGGCAAGGTAACAGACACTCATCAGCAGCTTTGTCTCATAAATTTTGGGGATAAGGAATCTATACCACGAAAAATTATTAGGATCAAACTTTGGTAAAAATCAAATATCCTTTTATCAAATAGTAAGAAGTACACAGAAATAATTCATAAAGTACTTTTGTGAATATGGTCAAAATCAATATATATATATATTAAAGTAGATAAAGTACAAGTATTTCTTTGTTTATGGTAGATAAATGCATAAATAAATAAAAATATGTCCAGGTTAACAATTCTCCACTTTACTTCAAACTGACGTACATTAAATCATATAAGCTAGCTGTCTGCCCTCTATAGGCGTCTTCAGATATATTATATATATATGTGTCATTAACAACTCTTTAAAGCGAGTGTTGTAATGTACATTTACATGTATCAAGAATAGAAAAACTACTTTTGAAAAAATACTAAAAATCACTAAAGACCATTCCTACCCCAATAAGAACTATTCCTGACAACTGGATTGAAACTGATTAAGAATTTAACTCTGCAGGTAAGCGCGAGTGGACGGACAGAGAGGGTGATAAAAAAAAAAAATTAGACTTTGCTTATCTTAAAGCATTTTTCTCTTTTGAGTTGGTTTTATGAGATCTGTGATCTTCTTAAAAGACAGGGGTTTCAATTACATGTATCTAAAGAAACCTTTCTTTAACCATAAAAATGGGTACACTATATTTGGCACATGTGTTGAACAGACTACAAACGTCTTTCAAAATAAATAATATGAGTGTGACACAATGATTTATTCTAAGAAAGAAACTGTTGGATAATAACAACTATCATCATCAAAGAAACTAACATCTTACCACTTCATCATCTTTAGAATAAAGAATAACAATGTCTTCCTCACATCGACCATAGTGCCAGTGAGAACTTTGTAAATAATGTGCAAAAACTTTGGCCTGATCTAGAACTGTCCTGGATCTGTAAGTTAAAAATATTATTTTAACTTTGTAAATAATATTAGATAGTATATATAAGTTAAAATAATAGTACATATGAAACATTTGAATTTGGTGTTGCAGTTTTTGTGCATTGTTATAGTATTGTATCTACGTTTTGTTAGGTCTTTCTACATTGCCTATTAGTATTAAATATAATTTCATATTTGTTCAATATATCAATAAAACTTGTGTTGAGATTATTTATCGAGTTTATAAATGTAAGGAAGTCTGATAGGTTGTCAATACAACAGGATTAATTTGTTGCTGGGGAATTTTATAGTACAACAAGATTAATGGGTAATTTGTTGTTGGGGAACTTTTAGTACTACAGGATTAATTTGTTGCTGGGGAACGCTTTCTAAACATTTTAGATCCAGACAAGATTTGTGTTCTGGTTTCTCGTGCCACCCCATAAGGGTGGTACCTGAAGCCTCTTTTTGAATAGATTTCCTGTTGAATTGATAAATGTATAAATTGTTGTCACATGTACCTGTCAGGGATTTTCATTTTCTTGACTAAAGCAATAGCAATAGAATATCCTTGTTTCTTCTGTTCACATGCCCACACACTACATGGACATTTTGTATCATTTTTTACTAAACCTTCCATTAACCAGTCTAAAGTTAGACCTGGAATGAGAATGAATCATGTAAAACTATAAATTTGTATAATATATCAAAATAATTAAAAAGATAAATTCAAGGCTGAGAATTAAAAATATGTAAATAGGCATTGTTTAAAAAAAATTACTTTTAATTTTTCAAAAGTAAAACAGAAATTATGTGTAACTATTATTGCAACCTACGTTCTTTATCCGTAAGAAGTCGGTTGGGGTCACACACATAACCATATTTGTTTCCAAGGCCACATGCTTGAGGATTTCTTTTTGGATTTGGGAATTGTTCTGGAAGCCATTCAGATGGAATATCATCAGGATCTAATTGGGCAAAGGCCACTCCAACAAAAATAAAGACAACTACCACTTCCAATCGAACCATTTTGAAGAAATATCTGAAATGAAAATGGAGGAATAAAATTATACTATCAACTTCACATAATATGGTGAACAGAGAAAGCATCATAATTACAGTTAGAAACAGACCTCCTATAATAATCAAGTGTATACATAGTTAATCAAATCAGCTGGATAATTGAATATCTTGTTACTTGATCCAGCCAGACATGACCTACTCTAACAAATTAATCAAATTATATTGTACAATCATTAATCATGATTCACTGCATCTCTTATTGTTATTAAACTATGGTATTTCCATGTTCTCATAGTTAATGTTAATTTGAGGGAAAAAAACATTCACCAGAATTATTATCAAAGCCTCTGATCGTCATTCGATGGATTTAGAATCCTTGCAAACTACAATAATGTAAACGTTGGTCCAAAAATTGGTCAAAATTTATGCCAATATTTATCACTCTATTCATAATAAATAACAAACATTTAAACTGTTGTTTTGATTTCTTTTATGACCTTCATGAACAATCTATGATCTTTTTGACATCCGAGCTGTTTTGGTTTAAAACCATTTTGTCTCATGTAAATATAACACAAGCCAGCTTTCCCTACAAATTTAGATGAAAGGATTGGAAAGGGTCGGCTAGTCGCCTGATGAATGGTAGTGTGAGGGTATCAATCATTACAAATTTAAACCTGTGCTCTGTTGAATTAGCGCAATGGCAACATTCCCAATGTTAAGTTGTCAATCTTGGTATAACGTTGCACTGGAGAAGAGACCCTTAATATGTAAAAGTCAAATTTTAAACAAATGCTTGAACTTAACATTCCCATTCTGTTTAATTCTATTTTTCGGTTTGAGAGAATTGATTAGTTGACCTGGTAGGCCTACATATTTACGCGATTGTGAAAACATCTGTGTTATTACTCATTGTCTTGATGTATGATTCATGTTGTTATGTTACATTCAGAACTGCAAGATTAAAGTGTATCACTTAAAAGAGATTCACAATCCTCCATTTATACAATTACAAGTGGTGGATTTAGGAATGGCATATTATTTAATAAGTTTTAGGTTAGGAAATAGGAACAAAAAAGATATTTAGCTGGCTCACACAGGAGGCTACTATTTGCAATCTAGCACTGAAGAAGACAACCCATAGTAGGTCTATCAATAAAATGATATTGTTACTACTGCCGTACTGGCCTATTTATACTTACATAATTAATGCTATGGACAGTATGGTACCGTAGGCCTACAATTATACAGTTTGAGTATGTTTTTTCATATTTTTAAATAAGCCTATCCTCCTACATAGATGTATAATTAATAACAACACTGTTAGATAATATCATATCTATTCAAAGACGCATTGTACTCATCTACTGTGTAATAAATGTAGTACACTTAGCTTAGTTACAGGTCAGAGTGAATGAATTGAATGAAATACGACCCCCTCTTAGTTTTACACTGACTTGGTTACTTGCTCATCTGTTTGGAAATTGGAATATATTCAGCCTCTTTTTAAATTATTTGCTTTAAAATTACGCTTCTTTAAGGTCCATATTGGTTATTTACTTGAAATTAAATCAAAATATTACCTTGGTACACGTCCAGTAAAACTTTTCGTTCCAAAATATAACTTCTCAGCCTACGATAATAAACGACATTCCAAACAAGGCGAAGCCAAGTTTAGAAACGACCATCCTACTTCCGGTATAGTCTCTTTCGCCCAGACGTATCTCCAGCATTGAAAATCGAAAGGCAAGACAAAAACTGACATTATTATGTAGGTGTTATCCACATTTATTCTTCCCTAACCATAGTCATAGTGGGATTGTCAGTGACATAAATTAATATTTAATAGAAATGTTAAAAGGCGTCGATATTCATTCAAAATAAAATATTACTTGATGGTGTGGTCTTTAAAGAACAATAACTAGCAAGGCCTCAATCATATTAGTGTAGCCAGCGACATTGTCTTCACACGTAGACGCTGGGCTAATTCGTCAGCGGCGTCTTATTATTATTATGGCCGTGTATACCCAATGTTTATTTTTCGAAATTGCGTGAAAGATTGTGGAAATATTATTAGTAGATATTGTTAGTTGACGTTTTACGACTTCGACGTAAACGGGCTTAGCAGGCTAGGCCTAGCCCTACCCCTAGCCCTAGCTACTCAATCACAAAGTGAGTCGAACAAAGGCCCATTAACTCACTGCCTGTCAACTGGTATTTAAATATTTACAATTTACTGGTGAATTAAAGATATATATATACTTTCCTGCATACAAAGTGTGTGATTTTGATGATATATTTGGACTAAAAACATATTCAAGCTAATTAATCTATCAAAAATTTGCTTCAAATCCCTCTCAAAACTTTGTATTCGTCGGGAGATATATATTATCGCAAGCTATAAATAAACTGTTGTTAGCGTTGTTAGACGCCATGTCTGTCAGCCCAATTCATTAGGGAGGGTCCACTTTTCGTTACTTACTGTCCATTTATCATACATATTGAGGCCTAAGTTAATTCTTGATTATTTTCTGTCAACTAACTACTTTATCCGCCGTTTAATTACAGTCTTTTGTACGCAGTCGGCAAACCTCTGTGATTTCGTTACTGAAATCCGCTGAGGTTTGCCGAGTGTTTTGTACGTTGACACCATCTATGTTGACACCCCTCAATGTTCCCAAAACCGCCAAACCATTTGATCAAGAAATAGCAACCGCCCCGTCATTCAAACTAGCACAATAAGCTGGCAGGCAACAATCGAGTTGCCAGTTAGTATTACCCTGATATTTTTGCCCAGTGCTTGCCCCATGGGGTATTTTTCGGGTTTTTCTAGTAAGATTGGGTGTGTATATACTTTCCATATATACCAAATTTGCCATACTTTATTGAAAATAACCAACCGACAAATACTTTCGGGACAATGTATCTTTTCTAGCCAAATAAAGCAATTTGATGATGTCATGGTTCTGCCGTAAAAACAGAAAGAAAAATGAAAAGCAGATAGTAGTATCACCTGTCCCATCGAAAGCCGAGTTCGGACCTCCAGCGGCAGAAGAAAATAATTTGTACAGACGTTATGCATTACAGGTTAAAAATAAAAAGATGATATTAAATTATAGTATTAACTTAGGTTAATTATACACCGACAACATAATAATATTAATAATTAGTCTTCGTACGACTAGGTTTTCCAACATTAAGAAAGATTCTGTCAAACGGTTTCGTTTCATAGAGGTAATGGGAAAGCCTAGCGAATATTCACTGCTGTCCTGTTTAAGATTCTGTTGGCAAAAAATAGACTACTTTTGACATCCCCAGTCACAATTCACTGTACAGATTAGAGTGCTTAATAAATCTTTAACTAGTTGTACATCTATGTAGTCTTTTGTTTAAAGCCCCATTTACATGGAGTTTAAGAACAACTACAATCAAGCGTAATTTAATTTTCAAAAATCTTTCATCAAATCGATCAATTCTAACTTAAGTTATTGCCTTTGAAAATTTCGATTGATTTCACACATCTTTACCTGTCCTAGACAAATATGGTAATATTAATTGTCCTATCTTTTTCGTGCCAGCCCATTCTTCATGGAGGTTTTATTACACTCAGAATATCAGATGTGCTTACGTACATAATCACAATAATAGTACGTAATACCCTTAAATAACAGCTACAAAGAGAGGTATAACATCCATACTACAACTGGATTTGCTTCTTCTTGGTGTATTACAATAGGGTTGTGTTATTAAAACGGTACATATTGATGATTTTGATATATATGAGAACGATTTGTCTGGTCGTGGCTTTAATTAATTTCAGTCTGACCTTGAAGAGCACACCCACTCAACCCACGCCCTCAGTTTTACTTTTCTAACATCTAAGATATTATATGTTTTGATTTTATTTTTCAGATCGTATCTAAATGTTTACAAGAATTATTAGATGGTAGGATTTTAAAAGACCGTCAACTAAATGGCGTTTATAATCAGATGGCATATAAAAACGTTGATGTATCTAATATCATTATAAAACAAGGTATGTCAGAATAAACAACATATAATGCCATTATTTGAAGAGATTAATGAATGGATGAATCGAATGGGATTTAACCATTCTGCACCAACCTTGCTAATGAACTGTTTCAATGGCATTTAGTAATTGAACTAGAGTATACAGGTCACAATTCTATGGAATACAATTACTGCTTTTTACTGAGCGACGTTTCGACTAGGCTTCTCTAGTCATTATCAAGCTATGATAAAAAATTGTCCTGTCATATTTTCATTTTTTATCATAGCTTGATAATGACTAGAGAAGCCTAGTCGAAACGTCGCTCAGTAAAAAGCAGTAATTGTATTCCATAGAATTGTGACCTGTATACTTGCTAATGAAGAAGGACATACACCATACAGTGTGCTATGGGGGGAAATTTTGCCCGGACAACAATTGATTAATTAACCATTCGAAGCAGATAAGATTTTTTTTTTCTAGCAAGGGGAGTGAGACCAACACCCTGTCTTCTAGAAATATTGCAGTTACCTGGTCGTCACTATACAGACAACCGATTAGCTTGCAGATTTTTAGTCCCCGCCCCCCACCCCCCACCCATATTTTGAAGGCCCTTTTTGCGTAACTGGGTCATTTAAGCAATTAAATTGTCATCCCAGAATAAACTACTGTCGCCTCACCCCAAGGAAGATAATTCAGTATGTTTGATTATTAGTTTATATATGGACTATTTGTCGTTTGATGTAGGAGAAAAGGGCAAAGGTATTTATGTAGTACTCAGCGGAAAAGTGGAGATAATAGAGACAGTTGACGGCGAAAACCTTCTTATATCAGAAAAAATAAATGGCGATTATTTCGGAGAAGTTTCTACCATATATGACATTAATTCTACAGCCACGGTAAAAGCAGTAACGAGGTAGGCCTACGTTATTTGTCGCAGTGTTTTTATTCAGACCGGTCATATTGGCAACACAATCAATTATCAATATATATCTTTCGACTTCCATATTGAATTCATCGGTACTAAATTGAACATATACTGTTAGTTATATATAAACATCACAAATAAGTGAAAAGAGATATCAGATGTTCTTAAACCACAGACAGAGCCGTTTACTATTATTGACTGTCTCTTCAGTCAGTCAGAAATGTATTATGTTACAATGGTTTACCTTAATTTATGATCCTTTTTCAGATGTAAATTACTTTTCATGCAGAAGAAAAACTTTAAAAAGTTGGAGAAGGGCTCGCGTACCTCGCTTGTTGACTGGTTTGTCCAAAAACGATATATTCCGACGAAAACACAGGGCTTAGAAGATAGACAGGTCGTACGCAGACTTGTCTTACAGGTTTTATCAAATGTAAGTTTATTGAAACCAGTTTAAAGTAGGTTTATGGTGTTATTTATTAGTGCAGTAGGTTAATCTAGAAAGTGTGTGTTTTTTTGTACAGCCAGTATACCAACTGTTTTCATGCATTTAAATGTGTATTAGTAACACACAGTGGGTAGATCTATATTATGAAAGGTAAATTGTGTAAAAACTGGGGTAAGCCCCGTAGAGGGTTGTTCGGGTGGAGTTGATCGATGTTAGAAATCCGGACAGGAATTTCTATTAGAATTTGGTTCCGCTTAATTACAGTAATTATAACAAATGAAAGTCATGACTTTAAATACATTGACATATTTTTCACTTTCTTTTAGTTACCATTATTAAAGGGTTATGGTCAAGAAACACTGAAATCATTTATTATATCGATGTTACCAGAATTGATAGTTATATACCCGGCTAACTCATGTATTATATATAATGATGATCCAAGTAATCGTTTATTTGTCATCATTAGCGGCAGGTATGAATGTTTATAACATAAAATAGTTGGAGTTTAAGGCGAAATAATATTCAACTGGTAAACTCACCCAACTGCCCCAATAACCCGTCAGAAGAATTAAACCGGGGGAATTTTTCAATAGGGATAAAAGCAGTGGTCTGATATGTCAATTATATGTCCTATTTCAAGTACTAGTCATTACTAGTCAGCCTAGTCAGTTTGTTATAGTAGTGGGGGTATTAATAGTTCCGAAATGTTCTTTTTCAAAAACTACAAAAGAAAATGGAGGAAGCATGTCGAAATAATTATTCACATGCAAATTTCAGAAGATCTGAATGAGAATAAAGTAATTATTCAATTTGTCTGGCATTTAATATAAAACTAATATTAACAATTTCAGTGTTAGATTAAGAAACCAAGCTGAAGAAATACAGATAGAGGTAGACCATCGCCCTATTGTCCTAGGAGAAGAAGGTTATTTCTAGATCATTAATACATTATAACCATTTGCGTGATTTAAACTATTCCCAGAATTTAGTTTAGAAAATAAATCGCGGTAACCATGTTTGGCGTATTATCAAAAGAAAACGGATTCCTTTGACACTTGACGATATGTATATATAAATTACTTACTGGTGTATAGTGAGTTGCCATATGGCCCAAGGCACATGAAACCACTGGCTTGCTAGCAATGAATTTTATGGTTATATTTATCCGACATAAAGAGATAAAATATTAATTATCAAGTAGTTTCTGATTATTGAAAAACTTGTATAAACATCTTAGAATAATATTCCATTAATATTCAAGATGTATATGTCTTAGATATTTAAGATTTATTCCTGATTACACACTCATGTACATGTAATG